GAGTTTAATTTCATTTTGTTACATATGGATTTCCAGTTTTCCCAGAACCATTTGTTAAGAGGTATCTTTTCTCCAATTAATGTTTTTGATGATTTTTTTTCTAGTATGAAATAACTATTTACATGGGTTTGTCTTTGTGTCGTCTATTCTGTACCATTGGTCTACATGTCTATTTGGTATCGATACCATGCTGGAGAAACTGATTTTTTAAAACATGATCACTGAAAATAGTATAAGACACATTATATCCTGTCTCATGTGGACTGATAGGAAGCATATTTTGTAGCATATTTTGAAGTCAATTCAGGGTGTAAAGAGTTTCAAGTGACAATATTCAGTTTTAACCTTATTCTTGAATATGCTTCATCTCTGCTGTTGTTTTCTTTTTTAACCCTACGTTCTCACTATCCTATGAATCATTGATGTCAGTGTTGAGAATCATGGCTCAAATCCTGTACTCCCAGCACTAAAGATTGAATACCCGATAACTGACAAGGCAAGCACAAAAGGTTTTATTTAAAGGATGGGGTGGGGAGGAGATCCTCTGCAGAGGATGGAGTCCAAGTTGGTGCCCAGGGGAGCAGGAGTGCCCTGCCCCTTTTATAGATATTAGACTTCTTTTTGTTCTCATGCCCTCTCTTCCCATCCAGCCTATTTGACCCAAAAGGTGGAGTGATCCAAGGGCAGGAACAAACCCACCCAGGGGTAGGTGCAAGAAGGGAGCTACCCCAGGGCTACTCATTAACAACTCCTTGAAGAGAGAAACAATTCCCTGGAGGCAGGTAACCTTGGCAACAGGTTAGAGGAGGGGAAAGTGCTCTGGAGGTATTAGCATTTTATTTCGTTTGAATTAGTCCCTATCTTCCTGACCCAGTCATTCACTACTTACACTGACTGTCCTTCTGTCCCCCATCATTGAAATATTGTCTCACAAATGTAGACAATATCATATAAAACTACCCATGAAACAGCAACAGCCTACACCTTCAGACTTTTATGGAGTGCTGTGCTATGCCCTGTGCTGGAAGCTACAGTTTGAAGATAGAAACAATAGAGTTTCAGCTTCTTTGGACTTGGTGTAGAGGAGAAACAAATACAAACACTGAACTTCATTATAAAATGTGCTATGACAGGTGTACTTATAAATATGCCCATGGCAATCAAGGAGCATTAGGAGGATTACATAACAGAATCTATGGGGATGAAACTCAGGAAAGCCTTGTTCTAGGTGAAAGAGTCAGAGAATGAAAGAGCTGGCTTGGTATGGGATGATGGCAGACAGGCTATTCCTGGCAGCTGGAACAATATCAGCACTGGAAGAGAAGCAGGCCACAGCATGGTGCAGGGGCTTTGATGTCACTGGGGAACACTGGATTTGTGGTTCTGAGTGTTAGATGATAAAGTTGGATGGAGCAAGTGGCAGGTGCCCACTTCCACAGAGATCAGTCACTTTACAACATTGTGATGATAAAAAGATGAACAGGGACATCTCAAAATCCAGTGAATACTGACAACATTAGACTACTTCAACATTATTATTTTTCAAGCTTATTGGATTTCTGAAAAATATACTCATAGGAAACTCTGAAAGAAAAGTATTCATTGACATACATATTTTATTATAAAATATAAATAATCTCTTCCTTAGTTCCTTAATCTAGGAATCAACTGCTCGACCCACAGTAGGTACATCATTAATACACTAACGAAGTTATTCTGAATATGCAGGTCCAGGCTAATCAAACCTTGGAAGTCCTTTAAAGACTTTCAAAGAGATTCCAAAATGTCAAAGCAAATGTGTGTTCTTCTAAATGTATCTAGTGACCTCTGCTGGAATATTTATTTATCAAGGAAACCAAATACAAGTTGTCTTCTTTTCTTTTCTTTTTTTTTCCCCCTAATTTGCCCTCTTGCCTCTTCCCATTGAAAGATAAGATTTTAGTGTGGGAGTGAAATTAGGAATCAGGGTCTTTTGAGCACCTTTTTCCTACCTTAGAGAAGTCCTGTCTCCCTTTCTGCCTCAACAGCTCTTATCTTTCTGCTGCCAACTCATTTATTTGTGCTTTTAGCATAAACCTTATAGGACAGTATTCAGGGATTTCGGAAGCAGAGAACTTTGCCTGATCCTCCTCCAAATCTGCAGAAATGACTGCCTTTCTCTGCACATACATATGGAAGAAGGCACTTCATCCAGAGAGCAAGGATAGATGAAAACATGGACATATTTCTTTTAGTTCTATTTATTTCCCTTCTCTTGACTCCAGGAGCAATTTTGAAAATAGCATTTGCCACTAAAAAGCAAAGAATTGGTGAAGAGTGACCTCATGTTGAGAATAACAAGATTAAAAAAAAGTACAGAAGCCTGATGGGAGGTGTCATTAGGATATGATATGTTGCTGAAAATACTGGTACTTGATATTAAAAATAAGTCAAATGGGAACTAAGGACAAGGAATTTCAAAACATCACAATAACAAGAGTAGAATTGTGCAAAACCTTATGATATGATTAAATTTGAAAACCGTTTTGATTTATCCCATGCATGGTGTGCATATCTGTAATTCATGATTATTACAGAAAATTTGTAAAACACAAATAAACCAAAAATACCACACAAATACTGGTCATAACCACTGTCACTTACAGACAATAACTGTAAGAGTTTTGGCACGTATCCTCCCAATTTTTTGTTCGTGTCTATTTTAGTCTTCTCTTCATATATACTTCATGACTACACACACACACACACATGTTATTACAACATTGATTCAGACATACTACTTATGTTATCTTGTATCTTAGTTATTTTCATTTACCACATTATAAAATGTATTTATTAATCTTAGGTCATTTTCTTCCAAAGTGTTTAATATAATAAAGTACCAAACAGGTAACAAACATGTATAGTACAATATAAAAAAATAAGAAAATTAGCCTCCTATTCCTCTCCATTGGTAACCAATGCCCTTTGGGGAAGGTTTTAATAGGCCACCATATGTTTTATAAATAAGGCTGAGCATTACTAAAGTGTTTGGCATAGTGCCAGGCACTACATTAATTCTCTAATGTAAATTATCTCATCCTCATTATAATAAGTAAACTAAAGCTTATATAAACATCTGCTCAAGGTTACATATCTGATAAGTGGCTGAATGGACGGTTCCAGACCAAGCACTTGCCACCTGGAACATACTGTAAATGAATAAATCACTCTTTTGGTGTATGTTGAATAATGTGAATCAGCTCTCCTGTGGCTTGTTCAATCCTGGAAAAACCAATCTCAAGGTTGTTGAGAGGAAGCACTGCAAACGCAAAGCTCTATCATGTCCCTGTCATCTCATCTCATTCCTCATCAACATGTCCTTCTGTTGGGCTTTATTGGAATTTGTGTTTGCAGAACACTCAGAAGTTAGGTCAACACGAACAAATAAATCATTATGTAAAAAAGTCTTTTCAACAACATAGCCTCATATCTCTATTATTTTAGTACTTGATTTTTTGGTTAGCCATGTACCCTTTTTTTCCCACAATTCAAACAAATGGATAATAAACTGTGTATGTATATTTACATTTGTAGACAAAGATAATCAAATATGTTGCTGAATCATGGAAGACTTGTTTATTTTTCTTGATTTACATAAATTATTAATATAACATAATAAAATATGACTTTACCTATCTTGAGTCATTAAAACAGGCTTAAGTCAATTAGGCCAACTACATGGAGTGAGACTACAGACCCAATAAATGTTTCTAAAATAGTATTATAATAAGGAACAAATTATGCTTTGACAATGTACTTATAATTCTAACCTGAACATTATTTTGTATGAACTTCAATTCTACTACTACATGGTATAATGTAAAAATACAGACTGCCAGGTAAATCTGTAAAGCAAGATGGTTCAAATTAAAGCATGCTGTGAATGTCCTTACTTTAGAAACAAAATTGTGTGTGTGTGTGTGTGTGTGAATATATTGATACAAATACACATACAAACACATGATAGAGCAAATATATGGCATTTATTGGCAATGTTATCCTAATGATATTTCTATTGTAACTTTTTCCTGTATTTGAACATATTTCCATCCACATCCATTAAATTATTATTATTAATATTTTTTTGGCACTGGGGATGGAACTCAGGTGTGCTCAGCCATTGAGCTACATCTCTAGCCCTTTTTTTATTTTAATTTTGAGACAGGGTCTTGCTAAGTTGCAGAGACTGTCTTCAAACTTGTGATCTTCCTGCCTCAACCTCCCAAGGTACTAAGATCATAGGTGTGTGAAACCACACTGGGATCATTGAATCATTCTTTATCAATTTGATCATATTTGTAAATATACAGTGTAACTAAAATTAATTTCTATTAGGTCATTTAACTGTGGACTGATAATCATTGACCAGTCAAAAATACATTTATTATATGCTATACCCAAAGACACACTGAGATTTATACTTTTGATATGGGGGGGGGGAATTTAAGTTATTAAGAAAGAGACAAACAAGAGCTATGCTTATCATCAAAATTAAATTTGTAAGTGTAGAAGGAAATAATCAGAAATAAAATTTTTTAAAGCTCTAGAAAAAAGTGTTAAAAAAGAAAGAATAGAGCCAGGCGCTGTGATGCACACCTGTAATCCCAGCGGCTTGGGAGGCTAAGGCAGGAGGATCTCAAGTTTAAAGCCAGCCTCAGCAAAGGTGAGTTGCTAAGCAACTCAGTGAGACCCTCTCTCTAAACAAAATAGGACTGGAGATGTGCCCCTGTGGTTGAGTGCTCTTGAGTTCAATCCCTGGTACCCGCTCCCCCTCAAAAAACAAGAAAGAAACAAAGAATAGAAAGCCAAAAGAATTTAAAACTGGAAACATATCTCAACCAGTTCTACATGTAGTCTGCAAACTTTATGAGGGAAATTGCTTTGCTAATATTGGATTGCTCTGGAAATGATGAAACAAGCCCTGGAGACAGTGTGAGTCTAGCTTGGTCAAAAGGACAAGGGCTAAAGGGCTGGATACGTATCACGCTCAACCTGTCCCAGGAGGAGCCTGCTCAAGCCCTGAACAGCAGGATTTTACTCGAGATTGCTCTGGGTCATTTAGGTAGATAGTAGTAAGAGATAGTGTCCTCATTGGACAAAAAGATAAGCCTCCTTCAATTGGGAGTTCTCTGGGAAGCACTGGAGATTTTGTTCTACTCATTTACTCTTTGAGTATCTACTAGAGCTTGATACCTACCAGCTCTAAACTTCCGTGTTTCTAAGTGCTCCTATCCAGGAATTGCAATTAATTGAAACAGGGAATCAATCAAGGGTTTTAGAAGACTGGAAGAAGAATGCTTCGAGGCCGATCATTATCTGTGACATCCCTAAGTGGGCTTCCTCAGTGGGAAGCTGAAAAACTTCCTGTGGAGGATTTACTGCTCTTTGAAGTTTCTTGGGAGGTGACCAATAAAGGTTTGTGCTGCTCCTGATGGTAACTATTTCTCAGGTTGCTGAAGAATATAGATTCAGATTTCATAGGTGATGCTTCAGTGATAATGCATGAGCAAGGGTGACATTTGATCTAATCTATTTCAACAGACAGTGAAAACTTAAGACTTGTGTATGTGTTGAAGAGGGAGTAAGTGAAAAAATTAGTCATTGCCAGAAAATGTGAATTCAAATAATAATTTTAAATCCATGTCACAATAAAATAAGAGTGAAAAGTTTATTTTTTGTTGTTTTATGATTTTTTTCATCAATAAAATCTTCATAAGTACTTTAAGTGCTTTTAAGTCCTTTATTTTGGGAAGTACCATATGAAGAAACTTAAACTCCTCATGCTATTAGCAATTGTATGAAACATTTCATAGCATTTCTAATAATTTAAGATTAGTTTTGAATTAAAGTTTTAATGTAAAAGCTGATCAGAAGACAAAATGCTGTACTGCTACTCAAAAGACTGAAAGTATTTTTCTTCAATGCTATGCATACATAGAAATTATAAAATAAGAAAGAAAATCAAATTGATCAAATAAAATAATTTTCTAATAAGATATAACCTGATTATGCTGGGTTGGAGAAGGCAACCTAGATTGGTTTTAATACTACAGGTACCTGTACAATTATCAAAGAACAATTCTTATAGATTGATAGATTCTAGTTAAAAATTGTTAAGACTATGAAGGAAAAAACATTATCTAACAGAGAAAAGATAATGGTTTTGAAGGCTGAATCCTTTAATATCATGAAGAAACAGGTCCAGAGATTGATGGGTAAATAGCAGTGACAAGCTGTATAATTTGAAGAAGCTGAAATGAAAACATGAATATGATACATGGCTTCTTCCTTTTGACTAGTTAGACCCAGAATAATCCCAAATTACGATTACACTTGGCTTCTGTTCTGATTTTTATCTTATGCCAACTGTTCAAAAATTGCATTTGTAAAATTCCTTAAATCAAAATTATCAATTAATTCTGCCTATGCAAAAGGGCATAGAATTCAGGTGAAAGAACAAGGTCCAGTCTTCCTGGCTGCATTGAGAAGAAGCAAGGAGAAAAGGGACTTTACTGTACAGTAGAGAAGTATCTTACAAGTAGATCTTTCCAATATTCTTTTTCCTGTCACAGTTTTTTTTCTGCCCAGTTTTTATTTTATTTTATTTTTATTGTGAGCAAACAAGTTTTATTTTGCAAAATATTATGTAATATGAACTCCACTGCAAAAGAAGGGAATAAATTAATTTTAATTATGTAATCCAGAGGAAAAGGAACAGGTCGAATGAAGGTCCTGGATCTAATGGATCTCTCTATAGGGACAACAAGAGACAAAAATATATCACCCAATATCAGCTAAAAGAAAACAGAAACCACATGAAAAACTGTTCCTTTTTGCCCAGTTTTTAAAAATGGCCAAGGTTTCTGGCATAGAGCCACCATACAATACATGAATCCCAGGGCATACCTTGAAATGAAGATTTCCTCAGTGGAGTAAGCAAGAGCTCAAGGACATAGCTCCTTGGTGGAAAAAATTGGGGTGAGAGGTTCTTAGCAAACAGAGTCAGCCCAGACGACCTCAGCCCAGTGCCCACACTTTAGCAAGCCCCCTTTCTTTCCTTGTTTGCTCTCCATTTATCAAACATTAATGGAACTAATGAAAACTTATCCCATGGGTCTTAAATCCCAATCATGTGCATGCTGATTTCAGTCTTGATATTTTTAATATCTCTCTCAGACTGATTTTGTCAAAAATTTTAATAGAGACGTACAATGATTCCATTCATCCCTGACAATATAAATTTGCTTTGAACTTGACTTTCCTGCAGTTTATAGCCACAGCTTGAGGCATCTTAGAGATTATAAATCCAACCCTTCTATGTAATACACAAAATAGATATATAGAGGCACTAAATGAACAAGCAAACGGAAGACAGAGGACTAAGATGTAGGTTTCTTCCCAGTCTGATTCCCCATTTTTTACTGCTACATAAGAATTAAATTTTGAGATCTCTACTGTCTAAGGATATGTCCTATAGATGAAAAAGCTCTGACTTGCAGTCAAATGTTAGAGACCTCTGAATAATAAAAAAACCCTCTTGAACTATCTCAGTATCAGATTATTCATGAATAAAATGAAAATAATATGTTTGAGTCATCTTACAATGTTCTGTGGCAAACAAGGAAGTTTTTTCATAACAAAGAAAAAAAGGGTTTTTTAGAGAGGAACAAAATTTCTCACTACCAGTTCTTTGCCAGTGAGTTATGGAAATGTTTAAAGTATAACTAACAAAGGAGTCACAATTAAACTATTGGTTGTTAATAATAACATCCAAATAACCTTTCAGTGGTTCATATTAACCTTAAATTTATTGCTTTTATTAATTATCCATTTTTTGTTATTATCCATTCAAAAAAGATTTATCAAGTATCTGTTAGGTGTCAAGCAATAAAAGACTAGAGAGACAGAATTTAACAAAATAGAATTGAGCTGGGCAGGGTAGCACACTCCCATAATCCCAGTGGCTTGGGAGGCTGAGGCAAGAGGATCTCGAGTTCAAAGCCAGCCTCAGCAAAAGCAAGGTGCGAAGCAATTCAGTGAGACCCTGTCTCTAAATAAAATACAAATAGGGCTGGGAATGTGGCTCCATGGTTGAATGCCCTTGAGTTCAATCTCTGGTACCCTAAACAAACAAACAAACAAAAACAGAATTGATTTCCAATCTTTCAGCATTTATAGACTTGCAGGAAGATTGACATTGAACATGTAGATATAGACACATGCAGTAGTGTCAGGGTTAGAGAGAAAGGTGCTTGAAGATTATGTGTGGTGCTATTGGTTGTGGCTGTGGTGGGATTCTTAACTGAGTTTTGGGGTTTGTGGAGAACCTTTCTAATGAAGAGACATTTGAGTTGATATTTAAGTTTGAACTGCTGTGGGGCAAATATGACAGAGGAGGCAATAAAGATAGAGAGTTCTATATGAGAGACCTACACAGGCTGAGATGCATTGGTACACATGCCAAGATGCAGAAGTGTGCCCTCTTCAGAGATCTCAGTGCAGCTCAGAGAGGGAAGAGGAAGGAATATGAAGGAAGACAGGAGAAACCTTCTGGGGCTAGATTGTGAAGCTCCTGATGAATTATTATCTTTAAGGATAATAAATTTATCTTCAATCCATGAAAAATAAACAGAGCCATTAACTTCTAAATAGTGGGAAGTGCTAAATCTCTGATGTGTTTTTGAAAAAGTACTGTTAAGAATTGGGAGCAAAAAATAGCAGAAAAGTTGCACTGCCTAAAATGGGAAGTTTTCTCCAAATGTTGTGGGGTGGGGGGAGTTTACTTTCTCTCTCTTTGCTCAGGCCTTATTACAATCATTTCTTCTCCACAGACTTTCCCCAAACATTTCCAACTATAGTCAGATTATCATGTTGAAGATTTTGGATCATAAAGAATTTAATGAAATCTGTCACAAATAAAACGAAACTAAGAGGTATAAAGACTTTTGAAATTTAATCCTAAAATAAAAGCTTTCTTCTCAAAACAGACCAGACACAAATTGTTTAGTTCCAAGTCAGCATGTTACTGGACATAATACCTTTACCTGCTGCCTCCTCAAACTGGAAATCACAGCTCTAGGTCACATGGCACAAGGGCACATGAACAAACTCAAAACTTGTAGTCAAACGGCCTGGTAGAAACCCAGTATAACCACAAGTTTACTCTTCTGAGGGAGGCATTCTGTCGGAGAGAACCTTGATATACATGGGCCTCAAGGAGTCTGTGAACTTTTAGAAATTGTATCTGAAAAGATGTGTGCATATATTTTTTAAGATTTTTTTTTGAGGACACTACATACTTTTGTAAGTAGAGATCCTCAGAGTTTTCTGATTGATGTAGGAATCATGATTCATATGAAATATGTCTATATAGGTTCTATATTGCCCATTTTAAAATTGGATTTTTCTTTTTTGCTAGTGTGTTGTTTGTGCTCCTTAAATATTTTTATCTTAATCCCTTACTAGGTTGTATAGTTTGCAAATATTTTCTCCCATTCTGTGGGTTGTCTTGTTATTCTGTTCTTTTTCTTTGCTTTGCAGAAGATTTGCACAAATGTAATAAAATCACATTTGTCTAATTTCACTATGTTGTATCCACAAATCCTTGCCTATTCCAATGTCCTGAAAAGTTTCTCCTATTTTCTACTAGTGGTTTCATAGTTTCAGATCTCACATCTAGGTGTCTAATATATTTTGACTTGATTTTTGTAACTGGTGCAAGGTTGAGGTTTAGTTTCATTCTTTTGCTTGTGGATATCCAATTTTCACAGCATCATTTATTAAAGAAACTGTCCTTTCCCCAGTATATATTCATACACTTTTGTCAAAAATCTCTTAGCTATAGATGAATGGTTTGTTCCTAGAATTTCTTTTTTGTTCCACTACTCTGTTTTTGTGACAGTAAAATGCTGTTTTGATCACTTTAACTTTGTTGTATATTTTGAAGTCTGTTAGTGTGATGCCTCCTGCTTTTTTGTTTCTCCCCACTCAAGATTTCTTTGGTTATTTGGGTTCTTTTATGCTTTGATATGAATTTTTAAGACGGCTTTTTCAGTTTCTGATATGAATGCCCTTGGTATTTCAATAGGAATTTCATTGAATATTATGGCCATTTTAACAATATTAATTATTACAATCCATGAACATTGTATAGCTTTTCTTTTTCTTCAATTTTGTCATCAATGTTTTATTTAAAAAACATTTTTTTAGTAGTGAATAGACAGAATGCCTTTATTTTATTTGTTTATTTTTATGTGGTGCTGAGGATCGAACCCAGTGCCTCATGCATGCTTGACAAGTTCTCTGCTGCTGAGCTACAGCCCCAGCCCTGTCATCAATATTTTATAGTTTTCACTGTAGAGATCTTTTACCTCTTTGGGTAGATTATTTCTTAGATATTTAATTTTGTGTGTAGT